CGGCGCTGCGGGGAAGGGGCGAGCGGGGATGGGGACGCAGCCCCTCCGGGGACAGTCCCCAGACACTTGTGATGAGCTGCGCCGTGCTCAGCGCACACACACACACACACTCACACACACGCCCCCACACCCCCGTAAACAAACAGATGGCGGGAGGTGGGAAATCACAGCTTCTCCCTCCGCCCACAGAGGCAAATGCAGGGAGGAAATCTCAACCCACTTCCCAGGAGAGTTTGAACATCACCCTGCCCCCATCCGGGGGGTCACCCGCCCCCCCATGGACGTCCCCAGCTCCTCGCACTGGTACGGGGCTCGCTAGCGGGATTCGGGGTCAGGCTTTGGTCACCACCCCCCCCCAACACCCTCAAGGCACTCCAATACGGGTCCAAAGTTTGCGGGGCTGCAAAGCACGAGTGCGGCCGATACCGCACTTCTGGGAAAAGGGTCTAAAGGAGCCGGCGGTGGTGAAATGCTCCTCCTTACCTGCTTCCCACGGGTGAACGTGAGCCGGGAGGGAGCGGGGAGAGCGGGAGAGATGGCAGCGGGCCAAGGGGAGCAGCCCGCCTCTTTGCAACCTTGAGAAAAACGTCCCCGATTTGTCCCCAGGCCCAAGTTCACGGCGAGGCGGGACACGCCGTGTCAGGCACTCGGGTGTTTTGCGGGCAGGGACATGCCCTCCTCCCTGCCCGTCTGTCTGTCCCTGTGCCAGCAAAATTGGCTGCCTGTGCAAAGCCCGCACGCAAAGCCAGGAGCTGGGGAAGCACAGAGATCTCCATCGGCATTTAAATGAGTGGAAAGGATTTATTCCTGTGGGAGAGCTCCCCTCATAGCGCTGCTGCCCTCTAGGAGTCAGATCCAGGTTGCATCTCTTTGCGAATGAAACAACCCCATGAGATCGCCTTGCCAAAAAGCTGCAACCTTGGAAAATCAACAGCAGGCTGGAAACGGGGGATAAGTGGGGAATTTGGGGCTCCAAAGCAAACCCTTGCCCACAGTGGCGCTGAGACTGGTTTACTCCAGCCATCCCCGAGAAAGGGCTCGGCGCAGCAGGGTCAGAGGTTGCAGGGTGGGTTCCCCATCCTGCAAGGACGGCGATGTTGCCAAGCACGGCACGGTGATGGCAGGGGAGGTGCAAACCACAGGCTGACGAGCTCAGGCTGGGCCAAGGAGCTTGGGGCAAGCTCTGCCACCGCCCGCTCTGTCAAGAAACTTGCCACAACCCGGAGGCATGAAAACTCCTGCGCATGCAAGAGCTGCGGGGCGGCGGGTTCACTGGTGCTTTGGGGTTTTTCCACTCTTTACCAATCTTCGCTCCCTCCAGACGCCTTGGTAGGATGGGGCTGGGGCGGCCCAAAGCATCAGGGGCCAGCAGTGGTTTTGGGGAGGATGCCCACCCCCAGTCATGCCTGACCACCACCAGCTAAAAATGCACCATACTCGTGCCCACCCTTCTGCCTGCTGATCATGGGGGTGCCCCTGGCTGCTGCCCATGATTCGGGGCGTTCAGCTCACCCACCTTCCCGTACAGGCAATGGCTCACTCTCTGGTTATCCCAATTTATTGCAGGGGGGAAAGTGAATGGGCACGAGGATGCTGTGTCCAGACCCACCTTCTCCACCAGGGGAGTGGGGAGAAGCTGAGTCCCCCCCAGGAAGGGGGATGAGCCCCTCATGCCTCCATCTGGAAGCAGAGGTCGGAGCCTGCCATGTGCTCCTGGTAGTGCTGGTCGAAGCGCTCGTTCTGGGCCACGGTGAAGTGGTTCTTCCAGTCCCCAGAGATCCCTGGAGGTGAGAAACTGAGTGGGGCAAATCGTGACACCCCCAAAATATTTGCAGCCACAGATGGGGGCTGCTGTAGAGCCCGGGGACACCCCTCCCAAGCCCTCCACCGCTGGCTGAACCCCACCTTTCCGGAGGAATGGGGAGAGGCTGTGGTCCATCAGGGCGGTGGGCATGGTTTCATAGTTGGCAGCAGGGTTCTTTTTCATCTCCTGGAAGGAGGTGTGGTGGAGGATCCTCTCCACCGTCCCTTCTGCCACGTCCTTGCCCAGGAACTGCAGGATGTTTTGCACCTCCCGCCGCGGGTCCTGAGGAACGGCTGACATGGGGAGGCTGCCAAAAAGGCTGGGAGGGGGGCAACCAGGGCGCCTTCCCCTCCACCCTACCCTCACCTTCTTCATGTCCTCATAGAAGAGGTAGAGGAGCTGCTTCTCCTGCTTCTTCTCCCACCAGCCCCGCACATGGTCATACCAGGACCCGTAGGCCACTGTGGGGTGCAGTCAAGGGATTAGCTGAAAAGCAGGGTGGCGGGGGATGCCCTCCCCACCAGCATTTGGGGGTGGGCACCCTGGGGCTCAGCCTCCACCTTTGCCAGCCATGAAGGTCTCCAGGAACTCTGCCAGCGTGCCAGGGTCGGGGTGCATCTTCGCCATCTGGTAGAAGTAGTAGTAGGAGATGACAACATCCTTGGGGTTGCGGGCCATGTAGATGACCTAGGGACAGACGAGGATGTGGTTGGGGGGTGCAGAGCAGCACCCCTTCCCTGCCACCTGGACGAGGAGAGAGGCAGGGGACACCCATGGCGTTACCTTGCAGTTCTTGTCCTGGAAGGAGGTCGGGAGGAGGTGGACTGGGAGATGGGTCTTCACCAGCCGCGGGGATGGGGTTTTCTCCAGCTGCTCGACACCTGCGGGACAGGGGGCTTAGCAGTGCAAGCCCCAGCACCCTCACCCATGCTCAGAACCCCCCCACCCAACACAGGGGGCAGCCGGGCTGGGGGGCTCACCGCTTGGCAGCTCGGGGGCCTTCATTTCCAGGAAGGGCACCCGGTTGAAGATGGCATCCCGTCGGCACTTCTCCACATCGCCGTCGTGGTAGATCATATCCAGGATCTCGCTCAGCCACGTCGTGCCTGCGGCACAGGGACAGCGTTGCAAGGGTGGCGTCCCCCCCGACCCCCCTACACCCTTCCCCAGGGCCACTCACCCGATTTGGGGTAGGTGGCGATGACCAGGTCATCCGGCCGGGCTTGGAAAGCCTCCACCTGCGGCCAACCCTCCAC